TCCAGAAGCCCTCCCACTGTTGCCCCCCAAGCACCAAGAAGACAGAGCATCACTTGCCCCAGACAGAGTGTTCCCTCTTTAGTAAAGGTAAAGGTTCCCTTGCTCGAAAGCCAGTCGATTCCGACTCTAGGGTTGCGGTGCTCATCTCCGTTTCAAAGCCGAAGAGCCAGCGCTGTCCGAAGACGTTTCCGTGGTCATGTGGCCGGCATGACTAAACACAAAGGCTGTTACCTTCTCACTGAAGTGGTTCCTATTTATCTACTTGCAATTTCTTGCTTTCGAACTGCTAGGTTGGCAGGAGCTGGAACTAGAGACAGGAGCCCACTCCGTCATGCGGCGCACTCGGGTCTCGAACTGCTGAACTACCGACCTTCCGCAGCCTGCAGTTCAGCGTCTTAACCACTTGAGCCACCGCAGCTCCTTTACCTCTTTACCTGGTGGCTAATAGCCACTCATGGACCTCTGCTCTGTGTGTTTAACCATCCCCTCTTGAAGTGATGAGTGCAATCAGGGTCCCTTCGATGACAAGTTAAATCCATCTCGGTTGTCCAGCAGTGAAAGTTTGCTGCTCCGTCCCCCTGCCGGTAGCATAGGCTAACATTTCCTACACTAACACCGTAGTCTGACCTGGATGGCCCAGGCTTAGCTCAGTCTTGTCCCATCTTGGGAACGAAGCAGGATCAGTCCTGCTTAGTACTTGACCACTAAGGACGTTCAGGGTTCCGACCAATGCTCCCTCTAAGTTGTGGAGTCTTGTGAGCAAAAATCCTACTTTGTGAGCTCCTGGCATTAAAGTGGTGAGCGAGCGATCTGGCACCTGCAGGAATTAGTTTGCTCTGGAGCCCATCCTTCCTGAGCTGAGACGAAAACGGGTGAGCCGGAGGCTAAAAAACTGAGCTGGCTCACACTCACTCAGCTTAGCGGGAACACTGGTCACGACTCGCGACTCAGATGCAGGCAACGGCAAAATACTTCTTTTTGCCTCTTGCCTTGGAAACCCTGCGAGGTCGCCATAAGTTGGCTGGGATTTGACAGCACTTTCCACCCAGGCCCGTAGCGACGGTGGGGAGTTTGGGGGCTCTGCCCCCTTTATTAAAGGCACAGACAGTCCCACAAGCATTTCTCCTGTAAATGCTTTTTTCAATCATTTTTTAAAAATTTAAGGCGCAAGCTCCTTTAAGCAGACCGGGGTGCTGTAGTTGACTGATTCCCGCACTGAGTCAAGGGGGTTGGAGTAGGTGACCTCTACGATCCCTTCTGTGTCAAGAAACTTGTTGCCTTCAAGAGTTTTTCTGCCTGAGTGTGAGCTTCCTTGACTATAGAAGTCATCACCCCCACCTGCCGGCTTGTTATCCCAACTGTTGCTTCAGCTGGCAGAAGTGATTAACTTGCAGCGGCTGAGAACTGTCATCGAATGTGGCTGACAGCTTGCAATTTAGAGATCTCTCCTGGGACCAGCTTCTGCTGGCGAAATGGCTTTTCCTTCTGCACTGAGAACTTCAGCCCCACCAGAAAAAAGTTTGCCCCACAAGCCACAAAATCGTAGCTACAGGCCTGTTTCCACCTAGTCTGTGTCTGCCCTGACTAGAATTGACCAGGCCAGCGTGATCTCATCAGATCTCAGAAGGTGAGCGTGGCCACCCCTGGTTAGTGCTTAGATGAGAGATCGCCAAGGACATCCAACATTGCTAGCTATGCTAAGGCGAGCAATGGCCATCCACCACTGTTCATCTCTTCCCTTGAAAACTCTACGGGATCGCCATGAGTCAGCTGTGAATTGACAGGACTTCCCACCAGCGCACTCATCCCACGAAGCAAGGGTCCCAACACCGTGCCCAACAGGGATGCCACGTGCCCGCCAACACCTTTCCTGGTGGCCACCAAGTGTTTTTAGAATGTGAGCAGGGCCATGGGAAACCTTGACCCAACAAAGCTTCGGATTGGCCACTGGAGATTTGATTGCCCGTGCAGGTTTTAAAAACGTTGCTTTGGTGGCAGCCGCCGCCGTAGCGACAACGATTTTGTGGCTGGCTCCGCCTCTTGCGGTTGCCATTTTGTCGCCACCGTTTTGTGGCTGGCTCCGCCTCCCGTGGTAGCCGTTTTGTAGCCGCCGTTTTGTGGCTGTGCCCGCCATGCTGTGTCAGAATTCTGAAGGTGCCCGCAGGCTCAAAGAGGCTGGCGACGCCTGGCGTAGAGGTGCTTCGTTTATCAAGGGACCACATAGCAATGCTAGTACCACTCCTCCTTTCCCCCTCACCCGTAAGATGTCCCTGAGCCAGTTTTGTGTAGTGGTCAAGTGCGCGGATTCTGATCTGGGAGAACTGGGTTTGATTTCCCACTCCTCCACTCGCAGCTGCTGGATGACCTTGGGCAAGCCATAGTTCTCTCAGAGCTGTCCTTGAAAGAGCAGTTCTCTCAGAGCTCTCTCAGCCCCACCGACCTCCCAGGGTGTCTGTTGTGGGGAGGGGGAGGGAAAGGAATTTGTAAGCCGCTCTGGGACACCTTTGGGTAGTGAAGGGCGGGATATAAATCCATTTTCCTCCTCTTCTTCCCTGAGAGAATGCGGTAGGGCAGATTGCAGCAAATATCTGTACAGCAGCATATGTTTCTTAGGGCTCCCCAGGGTAAGGCTGGTGGTTCTGGAAGGGACCCCTATTGCGACCCTCAAAAGATGGCGTGGCCCCGGGTGCTTGGGTGCTGTAAGGGCCGGTCCTTCCCCCCCCCCCCGGCCGTCTCCCTCCTTTCCCGATTCCTCTTCCCCGGCTGCAGAAATCCACCCGCTCCTTTCTCCCCTGAGTCCCACTCAAAGAGGACTGTTCCAGCCTTCCGCTACAGGCTGTTCTGGTTAAGCGATGAGTCATGCGAGAGGGAAGGGCATCCCCCCCCCGTCCGGGGGGGGGGGGGGCGGTGAGAGCAGCCGAATGCGGGGGTGTTTCCCAGCTCTGGTGGGCGTGCTCCTCGCACCCTGGCACTGCAGCACAGCCCGGGGGAGGAGGTGTGTGGAAGGATCCAAGCGGGCCCGGTGGCTGGCCGCCAAGCCCCGGCGGCTGACTTAACATGCCGAGCACGCCCGGGCGCTGGCCGTAAATGCCTTTGACTTTGGATAAAACCCCGAGCAAGAAAATTGATGTTCTTTTCCATCCTATTAGGGACAGCTTAGTTCCAGCGAGGAGAAAATGATGATTAAAAGGGGTCAAGTCCGCTCGGCTTCCAACAGGCCCTGTACCTTGGACACAGCGTCTCTTTCAGATCTTGGCTCGGGGATATCCTGGCAGGCAGAGGACGGGAGGCCCACTGCTGGGAATGTAGGTTGCCACGCCAGCCGGGGAGGTGGGGGGGAGGGGCGTTCTGTTCTCCAGGGTCTTTGGGGTCCGTGTACGTTCCCCCCCAAAAAGGGAGATTCGAGAGCTAGATTATTGCTTGGAATTATGTACAGGGAGGGGCTGTGGCTTCCTCGCTGCATGACCCACATTCAGAATTTGGAGTCTCCCCGGTTAAAAGGAGTCTTCAGGCAGCAGTGGCCCCAAGGAGGGTCGGACTCAACAGGAGGCAGCTCAGGGGGTCCCGGATCTGGAAGCACTGAAGACCACTGGCCCATATTAGCTTGGTATAGTCTGAGGAGGAGGAGGTGGTGGTGGTATGTATACCCCCACCCTTCGCTTGGAGTCTCAGAGTGGCTTACAATCTCCTTTCCCTTTGCCTCCCCACAACAGACACCCCGGGAGGTAGGTGGGGCTGAGAGAGCTCTTTCGAGAACTGCTCCTGAGAGAACAGCTCTGAGAGAACTTGTGACTGACCCAAAGTCACTCCAGCAGCTGCATGTGGAGGAGTGGGGAATCAAACCCGGTTCTCCCAGATTAGAGTCCGCGCTCCTAACCACTACACCAAACGGGCTATAGGGTAGTCCCGGTCAGTGTTCCCTCTAAGCTGAGTTAGTGTGAGCTAGCTCACAATTTTTTAGCCGCCGGCTCACACGTTTTTGTCTTAGGTCAGGAAGGATGGCCTCCAGAGCAAACTAGTTTATGCAGTGGCCAACTTGCTCGCTCACAACTTCAATGCCAGTCGCTCACAAAGTAGAGTTTTTGCTCACAACACTCCACGGCTTAGAGGGAGCAGATATTCCCGTATTGCAGACGGTGGCTTGGGCAAGTGGGATTCACCCACAGCTCCCTCATTTGGTGTAGTGGTTAAGTGTGCGGACTCTAATCTGGAAGAACCGGGTTTGATTCCCCACTCCTCCACTTGCACCTGCTGATGTGACCTTGGGTCAGTCGCAAGCTCTGGCACAGCTGTCCTTGAAAAAGAGCAGTTTCTGTCAAGAGCTCTCTCAGCCCCACCCACCTCACAGGGTGTCTGTTGTGGGGAGGGGAAGGGAAAGGAGTTTGTAAGCCGCTCTGAGAATCCAAGTGAAGGGCGGGATATAAATCCAATCTCTTCTCTTCTTCTTCGTGAGTTCCTGACGGGGGCTGGGACGTCCTGATTCCTCGGTCTCCTGTCCCAAAAATGATGCACGTGTTGCATTGTTGGGGATGGAGCGTGGTGGACTCCGCGCGTCCACCAGTTTTCCCCAGGGGCCCCCGCACGGTCTCAGCACCCTGGAGGGACCTCCTGTTTGCAAGGTCCGCTGTGCTCAGTGGCTGATCTCGAAGGGATCTTTCAGCCTCAGCTTCTCCTCTGGAACGTCGAGATGATGGACTTGGGAGAACCCGTCGTAGGAAGGGACTAGCGAGAACGTGGCGGCCCTTCCCACAAGAGTCCTAACCCCGGCACCCTTCTGCAAACACATGTCCGCGGGCAGCATGCAAAAGCAGATGGCGCGTGGGTTTCTCGCTAACCACGAGGACTAGGGAGAGGAAGCGTTTGCCTTTCCGGCTCTGCTTTTAGAGCTCGGCGCGGTGGCTTGGGGCGTGGGTGAGACCCCCACTTCTCTCCTGGGAGCACCAGACGCCATCCCGCCCCAACAAGGTCATCTGTAACTTTGCCCCCTTCTTCTCTTCCAGGTCAGCAGAGTCCTGCAGCCCCGGGGGCGCTTTGTCTCCATCACGTTTGCCCAGCCGCACTTCCGCAAGCGCCACTATGCCCAGCCCGCCTACGGCTGGTCCGCCCGTCACGTCACCTACGGCAGCGGCTTCCATTACTTCCTGTACGTCATGCAGAAGGGCGAGGGGCTGTCCCCGTCGGACCTGGCCCTGGGGCGGAGCCTCCACTCGCCCCTCGGGGCACTGGCCCCCGCGCGCCCGCTCCAGGACGAGGAGGAAGAGGAGGGGGAGAGCTTTCTCTCCGCCATTGAACTGTGAACCCCTGGGATGGAGGGAGGGGGCTCAGCCGCTTCCCAAGGAAAAGGACTCGTGTGACCATGCCCCGGATTGCTTCCGTCGGACTACCAGAGGCAAAATTCCTCTGGGTGGTCCCTTCACTCATTTGGGTGAAGAAGGACTTCCTTTGATCTGTTCTAAGCCTATTGCTCATAGATATATATTTCTTGTTTTGTGTTTTTTTAAAAAAAATTGTGCCTTCTCTGCGCTTGGCAGCAGAAGCCCGTTTTTCCCGTGGAGCGGGACGGGAATGTCCTCTGCCATGAACTCTGTTTTGTATCGAACGTTTCCCTCTAAAGTCTCTCTCCTGCCATCACAGGGCTGGGCTACAGATTTGCGGGGCGCTAGAATCCCCGGGATCGGTTTTTTGAACGTTTTATCTGTGCCATGATCTTTTTTTAAAAAAAACACAAAATCATCTCCTCCAGTTATACTGGAGTGGTCTACTGGGCTGCATCTTTTCGACTGTCCTCGGAGAGGCGAAAGGTATCTCTAAAGGGGAAGATACAGAATTTCTCCTTCTGCCGTCTTAACAGCCTCCCGGCGGCTTTAGCCGGCTCCTTCTCGTTTCTAAATAAACCACAGCTGGAACTGCCCAATGCAGATGTTGTCTTGGCTTTCCCCTCCACATGTGGTCTTGGGTATGATTGAGGAGACCAGAAGCCCCGTGACAGTTCTGCCCACCTGGCTCTTACACAGCTTTCACACTCCAGTCTCCAGGCCCTCTAGGTACCCCTGGCTTTGCAGGCCGAAAGCGGAGGGCTGCAATTAGAATGCATTGTGCTAATTGAGCACAAATACGTCTGTGTGCTTTGTGCTGGCACCATTATACAATTTGGCGTGTCGGTGCTGGGCACGGAGTCGTCGGGGAGGGTGGCTGTGTCACGGGCGGGAGAAAGAAAGGGAGTCATAAGAACATAAGAGGAGCCATGTTGGATCAGGCCAATGGCCCATCCGGTCCAACACTCTGTCACACAGTGGCCAAAAATACCAGGTGCCATCAGGAGGTCCACCAGAGGAGCCAAAACTCCAGAAGCCCTCCCACTGCGGCCCCTCAAGCACCAGGAATACCGAGTATCACTGTCCCAGACATAAGAACATAAGAGGAGCCATGTTGGATCAGGCCAGTGGCCCATCCAGTCCAACACTCTGTGTCACACAGTGGCCAAAACCCCTCAGGAGGTCCACCAGAGGAGCCAAAACTCCAGAAGCCCTCCCACTGTGGCCCCTCAAGCACCAGGAATACAGAGCATCATTGCCCCAGACATAAGAACATAAGAGGAGCCATGTTGGATCAGGCCAGTGGCCCACCCGGTCCAAATACTCTGTGTCACAAAGTGGCCAAAACCCAGGTGCCATCAGGAGGTCCACCAGCAGGGCTAGAACTCCAGAAGCCCTCCCACTATTGCCCCCCCCCCCCAAGCACCAAGGATACAGGGCATCACTGCCCCAGACAGAGTGTTCCATCTATACCTTGTGGCTAATAGCCACTCATGGACCTCTGCTCCATATCTTTCTCCAGTCCGCTCTTCAAACTATCCATGCTTGTAGCTGCCACCACTTCATACGGCAGTGAATTCCACTGAAGAGTTCATGACTTTGGGTGAAGGAGCACTTCCTTTGATCTGTTCCAAGCCTACTGCTCCTTAATTTCATTTCGTCCCCCCGTTGTGAGGAAGTCGCCAGGGAGGGTAGCCGTGTCACAGGCTGGAGAAAGAGAGCCGTTGGGCAGCGTGGTTGTGTCGCATGCCGGACCTAGAGGAACCAGATGTGAAGTGGGGGGGATGAGTGCCATCTGTAATAATTGTGTGGTTATGCACAATTCCATCCCCTCCTCCCTGTAGTTTTCATATTTAGGGTAAATCCATCCCAGCCATCTGTATGAGCGGTATTTTCAGGTTTCAAGCGAGGAAGGAAATTCTTGGCCAAATATATATATATATATATATCGGCAGAACCTTTCGTATGCTGCATTTGCGGAGGAGTGCAGGAAAACTGTGTGCTACATTTTCTGAGAGCCTCCATGTTTTGTTTTTAGGAAAGGATGTGTCCGGCCCTCGTGGCTGCAAAGTAACCCTTGTGGGTATGTGGCTAACACCGACCATAATCCCAGAAGCAATGAGGTGTGCTTGAAGATTATTTTTTTATGATTTTGCCCTGACCTGGATAAGCCCAGGCAAGGCTGATCTCGGAAGCTAAGCAGGATCGACTCTGGCAAGTACTTGGATGGGAGACCTCCTTGGCATACCAGAGGTGGGAGGCGGGGGCAGGCTTTATTCAGCCACCACTCTAAATGTCCTCCAGGCCCCCAGTAGGGGTCAGTCACCAGAGGTCGCCATGACTTCCAGGTGCACACGCACACGTGTGAAAAAATACCCCCCGAAATATTCTTTTATTCTGCCCACCCCATTCCTCCAAGGAGCTGAGGTTGGTGCACAAGGGTCTCCCTTCATTATATCCTCACGATAGCCATGTGAGGTAGATTAGGCTGAGAACAAACGATAGGAATCAAAACGTAATGGTAGGTATCAAGTCGAAAGGGGAGGGGTGTTAGTGCGCTGCAGTGGTTAGCGCGTCGGACTAGTATGTGGGAGGACCAGGTTCAAATCCCCGCACTGCCGTGGAAGCTTGATGGGTGACTGTGGGCCAGTCACACACTCCCAGCCAACGCTCCCTCTCACTTGTGGAGCCTTGTGAGCAAAAATTCTACTTTGTGAGCCATTGGCCCTCAAGTTGTGAGCGAGCGATTTGGCTGCTGTGTAAACTGGTTTGCTCTGGAGCCGTCCTTCCTAAGCAGAGACAAAAAGGTGTGAGCCGGAGGCTAAAAAAACTGTGAGCTAACTTACACTAACTCAGCTTAGAGGGAGCACTGCTCCCAGCCTAACCTACCTTGCAGGGTTATTGTGAGGATAAAATGGAAAAGGGGAGAATTATGTAAGCCATCTTGAAAATGAAGAAAAATAAATAGTGCCTTCATTGATCCTAGCCCTTTGCTAGGACTAGCAAAAGCAGAGAGCGTTATGCAAAATAAGAGCTTGCCAAAGTATTTAATTCACAGGGTTTAAACCAACGGCAGAATGCGGCTCTTCTTGGACGGGCGCTCTCACTCTATTCCGCGTCCTAATCTGACTTGGACGCAGAATTCTGTTCTGAGTGCAGAGTGCTGAATAGAGGAGGGAAACCTGGAAGCAGCGGGCCAGGAAGGATTCTTCTCGCAAACGGGAAGCATCCCAAGGCTGAGCTGAGGGCTTCCGGAAGTTCAAAGTGGGTTTTGACTGTGGAGTACCAATCAAGGTGCCAAAAGAAGGAGGAGGAGAAGAGATTGGATTTATACCCCGCCCTTCACTCGGAGTCTCAGAACGGCTTACGAACTCCTTTCCCTTCCCCTCCGCACAACAGACACCCTGTGAGGTAGGCGGGGCTGAGAGAGCTCTTTCCAGAACTGCCCTTGAGAGAACAGCTCTAATAGAACTATGGCTTGCCCAAGGTCATCCAGCAGCTGCAAGTGGAAGATTGGGGAATCAAACCCGGTTCTCCCAGCTAAGAGTCCGCGCTCTTAACCACTACACCAAACTGGCACCAAACAAGATGTACGGCCAGTCCCGGAAGGCAGTGTGCCGTGAAACCCAGTCGACTGGCTTCTTTTCGCAGGGGTCAAGGACAGTGTTCCCTCTAAGCTGAGTTCGTGTGTGTTAGCTCAGAGTTATTTATCCTGTTTTTATGTGTCGGCACATGGTGCCCTGTTGTGAGCCGCCCTGAGCCCGCTTCCGGGGAGGGCGGGGTAGAAGTGCAAGAATAAATAAATAAAATAAATTTAGCCTCTGGCTCACACATTTTTGTCTTAGCTCAGGAAGGAGGGCTCCCGAGCAAAATAATTTATGCAGCAGCCCAATTGCTCGCTCACAACTTTAATGCCAGTAGCTCACGGAGTAGAATTTTTGCTCACAAGACTCCACAGCTTAGAAGGGAGCATTGGTCAGGGAGAGATTGGACCCAGACATCCAGCTGTGGCCCATTCCGGCCGTGTGCATGGACGGAACCAGTCAACACCAGTGTTCCCTCTAAGCTGAGTTAGTGTGAGCTAGCTCACAGTTTTTTAGCCTCCAGCTCACACCTTTTGGTCTTAGCTCAGGAAGGATGGCTCCAGACCAAACTAATTTAATGCAGCAGCCAAATTGCTTGCTCACAACTTTAATGCCAGTAGCTCACAAAGTAGAATTTTTGCTCACAAGACTCCACAGCTTAGAGGGAACTTTGGTCAACGCCTGGCGGATTGTGGCTAGTGCAGCCGGCGAGGAGGCAGAGTCCCACCTGTGATGCCGCCGTGCCTCCTGGGAGGTCCAGGGCAGGCTGAAGGGGGCGCCACAGCAGATCTGGAAAGTGCAGTTGTGCCCCAAGGCATTTGTGTGGCTACTTCCTGGCGAAACACCCCCTCCCATCCCCCTCTGCTCCCCTCCCTTAGCTAATTCTGGAGGGCGTCCAACCTCCCCGCTCTTTGTGGCTGTTAATGAAACTGCCAGAGAACCTCTGAATCATTTTAATTCTCTCCCATCCATCTTTGGACCGGAGGAGAGGTGGAGAAGATCTGAGCTGCCTCCTGTCTCTCTCTGGCTCTCTGATGTAGATCTCACAAAAGCATGCTGGGTGGGGGGAGGCCAAAAGAGAGAGACAGAGAGAGAGAGCGTCTTTTTTTTTTAATCCTCTGCCACAAGTAAATTGCTTTAATCCCATTTCTGTCTCTCGAATAATTGGGAAGCCCAGCGCCAGGGAAGGCAGGGTTCCCAGTTCTTTCCGGAGTGCCCCCCCCCCGTTCATCTCCATAGCGATGCTCACTTGGAAACGGGCAGACGCCCTCGATGCTTCCAGATGGAATATCTTCTTCTGGTGTGATTGAATGGCTGTTCTTCCCCCCACCCCACCCCACCCCATGCACGCAGCCACCGGGCTAACGAGATCTTTGCAGAATTCACGGGCTCACGCAAAACCGAAATAGTTCCCGATAAAACACGGTGGGACGGGTGGGCTCCCGCCAACGGGGCACATCGTCCAGGCCAGGCGTAGGAAGGTACATCTTCTTAGCCCAGTTCCCATCTCTTAAAAAAACAAGAACCACCAGTGTTGACAGTGTTAATTGATTTTAGCACCTGCCTTTAATTGCACATTAGAAGTGTGGATTTTTTAATAAAATCTCATCAGAGTTGCCTCCTTTCGAAAGGTCGGCCAGGGCCGCTGGAATAACCAGCCAACGTCTTCTCTCTCGTTTACAGCGTCGTTACAGTTATCGGTGCACTTTGATCAGGGCTCTAGTCGGGGGGGAGCTCTCAGGTACGGAGCTCCGGAAGAGAACCTCTAGGGGGCGGGGCGGTCACGTGGTGAAGCCCCGCCCCCTTCTTTACCCCGCCCTCTGCTTCGATCCTCATTCCGTTTGGGAATGAGGATGAAGCAGGAGGGTAAGTAGCCAGGCCTTCTGACACACTTCCGGTGATGTCAGGGGGTGTGGCCTTCTGTCACTTCCGGTGATGTCAGGGGGCGTGGCATATGCAAATAAGTTATGCTAATGAGTTATGCTAATGAGCTCCGGCAGCTCTTTT